CGTTCCTCTATCGCCGCGATCGGGATCATGATGCGGAGATAGACGTTTCTTGTCTCATGAATGCAACCCCCGTATCCGTTGGATCGTGCCATACGGACATCGATGCCCTTATAACGTCCGAACCCCGCTCCCCCCCCCTATCCCCCCCATAGCCACGTGTCGCGCCACAGTGCGATACTCGACACGTGACTTGGAGGCTTTAATGAAATTTTGGCGGGCTGAACGTGGGAGGCGTGGGGGGGAGCATCCGAGGAGCGCTGGCATGGCGCCTGATCAATATAAGGGCGATGATGAATGGATGATCTATCTTCAAACGAATGATTACGTGAACGACGTTCATTCCGCCGCTATTTTTTACTCGGACTCGGGCGCCTGTTACTGCTGATGCACCTAATGCCGTGCCCCTAGATCAGGCTGGATTGCTCTTGCTTGATGGAGTGCCAGCGATACAACGTCCTTTCGTACGGAGTCTACTTGTCATGTACTCACCACCTGGAATTCTACGAGTTTCGAAGAATCTTAAAGTCAGACATTTCAGAGCCCCGCAAGAGTTCCTACTCTGGGAAACTTTTTCTTCCCATGGTGCTTTTGTGTAAAGTAATGTTGTTTGCTTTAAAGGAGATTTATCTTGATAAAGTGCCTGTTTTAGCAGAAAAGGTTGTTTGTTGCTGTGGAGTAACACGATGTTTGCCCAACTGATGAATAGTCACTTACTTTGTGTTTTCCTTTGTATGCATTGTTTCCAACATTATTTTTTTTAGTGTGTGCTCTCTGTAATTTGGAGTGCTAGTCATTGATGTTCTCTGAAATTTTTATTTATTTATTTTGTGTTCATTTATTTTTATATTCAAAAATCAAAATTGGTGTCATTGCACCCAAAAACAAAAACAAAAACAAATAAACAAAAGACACAACATCCACTAATTCTTCAGAATTGAAATTTATTTTTCTTACTAAAAAATTTTAAGTAAACTGAATAAATAAATAGGTAGATAGATTGATCATTGTACTTGTTTGGGACTACATTCAAAGAATCAAGGATAAAACTCATTATTGTTGGCTAAAATAATTGCATATGTTTGTTTAATTAATAACCATTGTTCTTGCATAAAAATATAATCAACAAATAAAAAAAGATGTTGATTACAGTCTTCTGCAAACATCACACTTCTTATTATTTGTAATGGCTGGTGATCCAATCTTATTAGCTGTTAAAAGTTTACGTTTGCAACATCTTAGCTATAAACAAGTCAAAGTGAAAACACATCATTTCTTAATGGCATGAATCACCATTATGTTACAAAATAAATAAATAAATAAATAAATATCTTATTTTTTCTGTCATTCTTCATTGTTCAAAATAACTCATATTTTATATTCTACTTGATAAATATCAGACACATTATTACATTTTTAAAACGATCGTGCCAGAAAATTGGAGGTTTTCTTTTAAACATAATTTTTCATATTTAAAATACCTACTGATATTATTAAAGTTATTCGTATTGAGATCACCAGTTTGAGATCACCAGTTTGAGATCACCGATTATTAATGTTATTCGTATCGAACTGTTTCTTTCAATTTTCAAGTAATATTTAAAATTACATCCTACAGTGAGGAAATTCCTTCGACAATGATACTTACAGAAAATAGGCAATGTAGAACAAGTGGAAATCTACCTTGCAAAGAATGTATTATTCAAATAAGATAAAAACGGCCATCAAATTCTCTACATTGTTTGGTTTCTGTATATCACCTCGTAAAAACAATAATATTAATGTTCTTATTTATTTACTTACTTTAGTTAACTTTCAAGGTATCCCAAACCTGTAGAAAACCACGTGATTATCATATCTGTTGCGTATTTAGCATAGAGGCCTTTGATTAGATGCTCACCTTTTGGCAAAGTTTATACAGTTGTACAAAGGTTAGTATGGTCTTTAAATCACAGTAGTGGATAATTAAAATTGTCTTAAAAGTCCACAAAATTTAGAGTGTAATTATACACATACATGCAGGCAAGGTTTTGTAATTATAAGACACGAGACTTTAATATCATCACAGCCTCAGGAGCTTGTTGCCGGACAAGGAGCTAACTCCACAAAATGAATGATTTACTTAAAAAACCTTCTTGTTCTTTTAAGACTTAACATAAATATTATTCTAAAAAATGAGATGGTTTTGTGAGAAAGCTGATTACAATGTTTACACACATTTGAATGGATGTTTTAGAAGGTTGGACATTGAAAAGAGTTAAAAATCAATCAAAGTATTAAAACAAAATTTCTTGATAGTAGAATAACAAAAGATTATAACTTTCCAAACAAATTTTAATAAAAACTCAAACAAATGTATCTAATAATTTTTTTGACTTATTTTTTGAAACATTATCCAATTTATTACTAGTAACTCTCTATTTTTCGTTTTGTCCCTATACACAATCATCAGAATAGTATATAGGATACTCATTTAATTGCATTTTTTTAATGTTTTTACTTTTACACGAAATTATTTACTTGCACACTGAGATGTTAATGCTTTGCACATAAACACATTTTTTGAAATTAATATTTAATAGAATAAGGCTCATGTCAATAGACATCTTACATATATTTTATGCAGACACTAAAAGAATTAAACAATTGTGACATTTCTTGATTGAAAGACACATGTGTTACCTAAAATATGACTCAAGAGCAGATGCAGAAATTCTATCAAACATCAACTATTGATCACTATTACTACAAATTGTAATATTTTGAACAAAGTCAATCAAACAGAATCAGTGTAATATTTAATCAAGTGAAATTCGCTGAAAGGTGTCAAGTTCCCACACATTTCACATCATTTGAACTTCTATCCCATATCACTGCTTTTATTTTGATTTTTTTGTTACTTTTATTATTTTCCTTCCTGTTCACTGATCAATCAACAGTGTTAGATAATTGAGAATTTGTAACTACCCATTTCATAGATTGCATGCTCTCTTTACAAAACTCATCAACCCTGGTGACTGACTGCATGGAAACACCTCCAATTAACAAATAAACACACCCACCATATCATTAACCCAAATGTGGATTTACACACATGTACATGCACATGCACTTACTTACTTACTTACTTACTTACTTACCTACCTTTTATTATTATTTTATGTTATGTTATGTTATGTTTTATGTTTGTGGTTTTTTTTTGTTTTTTTTTTCAAGAATGAATGTCACACATCACATTACAGAAGGGTACCACAAATACAAACCACATACAAATAAATAAATAAATAAGTAAAGAAATATACATGTGATAGTAAAATCAGTGGTGTGAGATCCCAAATTGCACAAGATCCAGCCAGCCCCCCCACCCCGCAACATATCCGCCATCGTCACCCGCACGACGAAGACGAGGATTTGATTTGTCGTTGGTGGGGAAGGGGACATGAGCGAGAGAAGTGGGTGGGACAAGGGAGGGAGTCCCTATCTTTGTAAAGCCAGACGAAGAAGAAGAAGAAGAAGGAGAAGACGACGACGACGATGGACACACTCTGACATCGGGGGAGGAGGAGGGCGGGAAGGAAGGGCTGCTCAAAATAGCGCAAGATCTGCCCCACTATCTGTCTGCACACTGAGACGGAATGGGACGGGGGATGCTATTCGGAGTGTGTTTGTTGTAAGGGTGCTTATCACTGAGAATGGTTGATTAGATGATTTGGGGGGAGGGGGGTTTACAACCAGTACGAGTACGCTGATATCGTGGTGTGGCAGCGCTGGTGATTAGCATAGTGAGAAAATAACATACGACAATCATGTGAATAATTGGGCAGAGGGTAGTGCTGCCAGATTCATCGCAGAAACCTGTATAAACAATTATAAAAAAAACTGAACGGAAGGTTCGGAAATTTAATCGCCGGTCACAGTGGAACCTCGGTGTCAGTATTTCGAAGGCAAGCTTCTCTGTGTTGTAAATCACAGTCTGGGTCAGCGCGCTCCGACACCATTTTGGAGATGGAAATGCTCTTAAAAGTTCCATTACGCTGTAATAAACCGGGTTACTTTCCACAATGATTCAATTAACGAAGCATATTTGGATGTCGTGATGACCTAGTTGGTTGGTTCGAGGGGGAGAGGCATCCGGTGGCGTTTGTAAGGGGGGTGGGCTGAGTGGTAGGCCCCAGAGGGCTGGGATGCAGTTGCCACACGCTATCGACACTGTGATGCTGACGAGGCAGTTGCACATGAAGCGGAGGAAAAAACACTGTTCCTTAAGGAGTGTTACTATTTTCGAGGGTTTACGGTCCACACAAAAGAAGGCGACAGGCAAAATTTGGAATATGCGATGCTAGAGAGTGACGGAGGAAATGGGTCCATAGGGAAGGCAAAGGTGCGGCCCAACGGCGGGCCCATCGTAGGGGCAGCCCCCACAATCCTTTCAAATGGTAGACCCTACCATTTGCCCGGCGGCAGGAGCTCATGGCTAGCACACCAAGTTGGTGGTGGTTTTACATGCGGAATCCTGGAATCCAGATCTGGGCGATGAAATGAGAGTGAGGGGTTTGACTCAGGTAGGGTTTGAGCCGCCACGGGGAGAGGAAGGTTCTGATCGGTTTGGGTGGCAAGTGCCCTTTTCGGGTCACAAGAGACACCGACCAGCAAGTCGGCGCTCGAATACTCGCACGCCTGCACTCTGTTTCTTCGTCCACGACTATCGGCCAATGTCTCCCTGTGCGCTAATTTACGTAATTTGCTACCCGACGATGTACATCCGGATTTGGACATGGTCGCGACGATACTTGATCTCAGTTGGGGGTTATCATTCGTCTAGAAGATATTCGGGTTTCGGTGTGACGTGGGTTGGCGACGGATGCGTGGAGGTGAACGATGGAAGCAACAGTGGCATACTGTACCGACCTAGATGGGAGGGGGGACGCGCGAGGGAGAGGAGGGAGTGGGGGGAAGCATTGGGTGTCAGAGACAACAATGGAAATGAAAGGGGAAGTGTCTTGGATTCAAGTTTTCCTGTATTATTACTGCTGCAGATAAATTGCTTTTCTCTTGTTGGGTTTGCTGCCAGACTGCTTCCGACGCTCACCGGTCGCTGCGAGGTTAAATACCCGCAATCCACGCCTTTTTCTCTGCCAAGAATCGGCATCTCGAAGGGGATACCAGAGTCATTACCTCCTCTCATCGCCACCTCTCCTTGAACGGAGAACTACTATCTTCTGTTTAGTTTGTTTGCTGTGGGTAGTGTAGAGTCTATTTCACTGTTCAAGAGAATGGTTCTTTGAGCTGTAAGGTGTCACTATTGGGAGTCCATTTGTGCGGTGCGTGATTAGGGGTTTGGTTGGCGGAGAGGAGTTGATGTTTGGTTGTTAGTTTGTGGAGGTTGTAGCGTGTGAAAGTGAGGACGAGGAGAAGCGGGGGTTGTAGTTGGAAGGATTTCGAGGTTGTCTAGTGGAAGCGATGGCGCAGCAGCCGAGTACCACGATGATGATGGCGATGCAGCAACAGCAGGTGCATGGAGGGGGGAACCATCATGGGGGGATGGGGTTTCACCACCCTGGAATGGGTGGGCAGCAGGGGGGTGGAGGAGGGGGAAGTGGCGGAGGTCCTGTCATGGATGAGTTGATGGAGCATATGTTTGGGATGCCAGGTGGAGGTATGTTCGATATGGCCGGCGGGAGAGTTGGTCCGTGGGATTACAATGTGGGTTCCGGGGCGGGGAAGGGGTTTGGAGTGGGAGGGATGCCATCTGCAGTGGGGTTGAGCAAAAAGGGGAATGAGGAGGTTGATTATGGCTTGTCAGAAGTGCAGATCCGCCATCATCAGCAACAGAGTGCGGGAGCTAGAGGGGAGAGTGGCTCGGGTGGCATGCCAGTGGTGAGAGAGGCTCGCAATGGAGCCCCGGATACACTGACGCGATCAGTGTCTCTCGGGAGTAGCGCTAGCGAAGAATCTGGCCCACAGCAGGGCAAGGGGGACCAGTTGATGGGTTCCATGGTCGCTCCGTCCAAGCATCTTCAGCAGCCGTATGGTGGTGCAGGCAGCGGTGTGCCAACACTTCCAATGAACTTTGCTCCAGCTAAGGCAGAGAATGTGATGCTGGTGGGCGAGATGGACTCACACAACGCACATGGAAAACGTTTTCGAGAAGATGAAGATGGTCGGCCCAGGCCCACTGTACGCTTTCAAACAGCTTCTTAATCAATATTGCTAACGTCGCGAAACAGGTCTTGGCGTGGAGTTGCTTGTCCTAGGCTTGGCGCCATGATTTCTGACCGTCAGACTTGTGTGAAGGTTTAACATGTCGGTATGGTGGTGATAATTTTGTTTCGGTAGAAATTGTGATAAGAGCGTATTTGTTGAACTTCAGGTGTTTGAACTGAATTTTGTGACAACCCATCTTATCGTTTTTGTCTACGGTTGGGGTGTGTGTCACACAATAGAGAAGTTGAGTTTTAGCTTTGAATTAGCTCTGCAGCTTTGAGAGGATCATGTAGTTACAGAATCCGAGACTTTGGAAACTGTGCTGCTGATCGTTCAGTCTATCAAAGCTCTTTTTGTAGTAGCTTTGAACGGTGAGTCTATACTGTGCGCGAGTCTTTCCTGATCACTCTGTCTGAATACACCTCCACGTATGGCGATTCCTTCATCATTATTCCTAGAGTAGCTCAGTATTGTAGAACATGGTTCACTTAAACAAATAGAAATTTGTATGCGATCGCTACAGTATCTTGCAGAGGTCACTATTCGCTATTTGAGATCTACTGTTTTTTTCTTTCCATGTTAAAGTCTTTGTTACCTGTCATGGTTTTGTCACCTACTGTATACAGTTACTATTTTTGTATCAGGAAACTATTTGGTGACGTTGAGTTAGTTTTCCACATCATCTGAAGCTGTAGCGCGACATTAACTGTCCTGTTAATGTCACAACGTGGCACAGTACGTGCAGCCTTTAGCCAAGTTGATTGTTGCAGTACATAGAAGAAAAACCCAGCTGGAAGCCTGTAGAGTTGCAAGTGGCGCTTTTGTGTATGCAGTTCCAGATGTTCTCGACCCTTTGTCAGGCTTCATATTGGTACCTGTACTCTCGAATCTATTAAACATATCGTGAAGCAGAGCCCCTTGCTGGCACATTCTTTCTGAAGTTCTGGTGGTTCGCCTTGTGTGTATTGCGGGCCCTCTGCACATTATTTTGTTCTAGGAACCTGTTTCGTACATTGGCGGATGTGGGTGCGCATTTTCTAAACACCCTAGATTGGTCTGTTGTTATTCATTCTGATTATTTTGCTGTATTGATGGAAGTTTCTCGCTTTGCAGGGAGCCATGCCACCTGGAGGTTGTCAAGGGTCTGGGTATGCCAACCCAGGAGTTCCGGCAGGACAGTCGCTCCCTGGTATGGGGGCTAGACCACGAGTGCGAGCACGTCGTGGTCAAGCTACTGATCCTCACAGCATTGCTGAACGGGTATGAATAGTCCTTGGTTGTTGGTCCTCTCTGATTTGTTTGGGCTGTGGCAACTGTGTAGTTTCATTAGCGGGAGGCCTCTCATGGTAATTCTACATTTTGATGTCTTGGAGAAGCTTCGTTGGAGGATAGAATTTATATGACGATTATGAGGGGCAGCGTGACTACCTTTAATCAGAACAGAACTCTTCAAAAGCTATCGTGTTCTTACCTCATGTGATCCATTCTTCATGATTCATGTTGTGGTAATTTGGCGGGCATTGCCGTGTTTTGATTTTGCTCTTCTTCGGTGTTCATTGTAGCTTCGCAGAGAGCGAATCGCTGAGCGCATGAAAGCCTTGCAAGAACTCGTTCCCAACTCGAATAAGGTTCGGTATCGTTTGAACCTTGTCTTTTATTTTTAGTGTTTCATGTGAGTTGAATTTGTGTTCTCGATGAGAGTTTTACATTGCGGGTGATGCAGATAGGTGCACTTGTTATGTGTGACTGAAACTTCGTGTATTTTTTTCATCTACTTTCACTTGGGCTTATTTTAAAATCTAATTAGAAGAAATGATCCAATCCTCTTACTGCTGTCTGTGGATACAGACGGATAAGGCGTCGATGCTGGATGAAATCATCGATTACGTCAAGTTCCTGCAACTCCAAGTAAAGGTGAGAGTTACAAACATATCCGGTCAAGACTTCCGTGGTTTGCCGGTTTGACATGTTGCTGCTTCACACGATAAGTTTCTCACAATCACACCATGCTTAAGTGTTAAATTTCTTATCTGTTTGTCTAAAACTGGAATTCAATTTTGTTGGATGGTGGGCTTGGCAGGTTCTAAGTATGAGTCGACTAGGAGGTGCTGGTGCACTTGTTAACAGTGATCCGCCCGCTGAGGTACGCGGTTTGCTTTTGTGGTTTTCTGTCCCATTTAAGTGCTCCTAGTATAATTTTCTGTCTAGCCAATCCTTCATTAGTTTTAGTTCAGGTCTCTTTGCGTTGTCCCTGATCGTGGAGGATGTAACTCATGCCTTGGCTGGAATTGCAGGGTGGAAACAATTTCGCCGCGTCAGCTGGGTCTTCGGGGGTTTCTAACCCTGCTCAAGATGGGTTAGCATCTGCTTTGACAGAAAGACAAGTGACACGCATGATGGAGGATGATATGGGTGCTGCAATGCAGTACCTGCAAAGCAAGGGACTGTGTCTTATGCCCATCTCCCTTGCAACTGCTATATCAACAACAAACAAGGGCCCGGCACAAGCCAATGCTAATACAGGGGACCGACAGGGATCAGCAGCAGCATCAAACATTGGCAAGTCCACAGCTGGTTCCAGCTTAGCTGGAGGTTCCAAAGAGGACGGTTCAGAGGCTGGGAGAGTGACTGAATCTACCACTCAAGACACCTAGGAGCTCATGCCAGGATCTGCAGCTGGTGTGACAGGATATAACTATTGCTATGTATCATCTGTGCAGGATTCAGTAGTTTCCGACTTGATTAGTGTTGTTTTTAAGCGACCTGAAGCTACTGAGGTTGGAGATGTCCCGGTTGTAGCACCTGGCATGAAGCAGTTACTCTATGTGGAGGTTCGCTTCTTGCTCGCCTCCCTCAGCAATGGAGCTTGTAGTGACAGGCAAGTAGACCTAATCCCCAAGTACCATTCAAGGTTACAATTGTGGCATTTAGTGAGTTTCATGTTAGTGCCTTCAAAAATCAGAGCACCATGTGGAAACACATTTCTTGGTTTTGTTTGAAGTGATGGTCCATGTCTTATATATTGTTTTCGGAAATGTTGCAAACTTGTCTGCTCTCTTTTCTTAGAAACCTTACTAGCAAACTCTTATTCAAGTCTGTGATGCAGTCCTATGGGTTTGTACCCCAAAAGTTGTCCATCGTACGTATGACATACGTGCCCTGCTACTGCTGGGATATGTGCGAGTAATCCAATTCTAAAGCCTACTTTCCGTCTAAGTACTTAAGTTGGGATGTGCAGGCAAGGGACGCTCGGGTGCATTGACATGTGTCGACTCTGTAGTGCACGTACTGCATTTGTTTAGGCATAGTCGTTGTATCCTAAAGTAGAGACTGGGAAGCTTTATGACCTCCTGCTTTATTGAAGTGGACCCATTGTATCCAATCATAGTGGATGGTCCTCTGAAGTCTCGTCAGAGTCTTTGATAATTTCACTCAATCAACCCAAGTGAAGCTTTGGTCCTAGGTGAATACAAATTTTGAAGTTCGTAAAGTCATTCAAGCTAAGTAGAAGCACTCTTCAGCTCAACACAATCAGAGCTCTTTTTCTTTCTTTCTCCTTTTTACATTCTCATTCGTCTCTTTTTCTTTTTTTTCTTTTTCAAAATTTTTATTAGGTTAATTTTTGTTACTTACCTTTATGTGAAACTCACACATCTTAGCAATGTTTGGTTAGGATTTTTTTTGGATGGCAAAAGTTAGAAACTGATACAGCGAATACCATTTACATGTTGAAGATAGGTGTGTTGAATTATTTTTTTCAGAAACGTTTTACTACTGAGAAAATCTTGAAAGTTAGTACATGTCAAGCCTCTGGGGTTCGACTACCAAATAATTCTAGTCCCAACCTGGATTGTTGGCAAACCGCAAGCGAAGGTGTGGATCATACCTGTTCGTGCAATAATTTACTTCGTCAGCTTTCGTTGTGTGCCGTGAGCATCCGTTCACTTCTAGCAAGTCGGTAACAAACATAATCACATGATGTTGCAGCAATTTCTGCAGTTTCATGTAAAGTTGTCATAGACCAACTCATATCAGGGTTGGGGTCGGTAGAATTTGGATCACCGATCTCTGAATGGAAAATGTCAAAGTGCAGCACATTCTACTACTTGTTTCTTGTCAAGCAACTAAAACACCTAATCAGATCAACCTTGCTAGTTGTGTTAGACTGATGCACGTCAGGAGCTCACTAGCTCAAACGAATGTATCTGATGGTATAACTATGTGACTCCCAAAATTTTTGTGACATGTATGAAAATTTCAAAAAAAGTCTGTCTCAGTAACGTTTTTCTTCTTCTTTTTCTTGATTCACATACGCCGGAATGAAATTCATTACAAAGAACCTGAATCTCTAAGAAGAGTTTAATCGTTAACTCAGAATTTGCTGAAAAGTAGAGGGAAGACAACTTCACCAAACTGGTTACTTCAATTTCCAATGCATGTAACTCATTCAGGAGTCTAATGAAATGAATTCAAAGAGAGCGATTCATAGATTTTTCACATTAAGAATCATGTATTTTTTTATGAGAAAAGCGTTTTACTACCTCATCTATGCACACGGGCTACACCTTAATATTTCATGTAGGCAAGGGAGGTTCCCCGGTCTAACGAATGCAGCTTAACGTTCGATACCCTATCCGTGCTGACTACTCACAAAAAAATTCGAAACTTCAAAACTCGTAGTAAACCTCACAGATCTGTGATTGAAAAATCGGTATCAGAATCTTCAAACTAGTTGTGTGCAGAGCACACTGTCCATCACTTTCATGCTTTAGTAGATGCAAATATCGAACTTGGTAAAGTTGTGAGAACAATATACAAATTGTTACTATCTAAAAAATGACTTGCTCACATGAAGCAAACTTGTAACTTTTCTGATTGGTCCTCACTCGCCGCTTCTGAATCGTATCATTTTGCTTTTCTAATCCCGAGATCTCAGTTTCCGGTGGAGACTGTTAATCTCGGAGCATGCACGATTAGCTCCTCGACCTACTATGTTTGCCTCCGAGGTCCCGGAAGCAGATTCAGAACAGTGGTTGCTTGTGTGTATATTATCCAGAAATCTTGCTTTCTCCAGAATGATCTTTTAATAGGTTCCTGTCCGGTAAATAGACCTGTGCGGGCGAAGTGTTGTGTTATTGTTGTCGACACTGTTCACCATGCCCTGCGAACCATGGGCGGCATTCGACTAGCACACCATTCTTGACACGAGGGCTTCAGGGAATTAACATTTCTTTCTGCATAAGTGCAGTCCAGAGTAAGCTAATCGTCACCGACGGTTCTAAATTTGCAGCTGCAGAGTGCCTCCCGAAGCAGCGCAAATTGTTCGAGTTTTTTGTGGTGCAAATAATCTTGGAACAAGTGTGGTCTATTGCATCGTTGGACAAGCAATCCCCGAAATGGCAATACCGTAGAATAATCTATTATTGAAAAAGTTAACTCCGGCTTCTCAGTTTCGGGAGATAAAAAGGAATTTGAGGATAGACCCCGAGGTGGAGATTATGAGGTATAATCAGTACCCGCTTCTATCTTTTTTTGTACGTGTAACTTGAGTTTAGTCAAGAGGTGATTCGGCAGTGAGGAATGGCTTGTCTATTTTTACTATGAATTCGCTAAATCTGACCATGAGAGGTCAAAACTAAACCTGTATCATGCTCTTCTACCAGACTTCCAGGTTCAACTTGTGTGGTGAAGAGGGATACTATAGGAGGTCCTCAACCTTGTTGACCAATTTGAAGCATCCAATGTGTACACAACGGCGTCCGCGAGACCATGAAACAGATTACAAGCATATTCGAAGCAATTGTTTCATGGCGCATGGTCGAATCCTGACTTGGGAGAAGTATATGTAAACTGCGTTGGAAACAAAACCTAGAACGGCCTATTCTGAGCAGGAATTTGCATTTCTTTCTTCAAAATGAGAAGTGAAGATCATTTGCAACTGATGTACCCGCTGCACACACAGTTTTCAGAGAGATGGTGGTGTAGTTCCCTCTTCATTGTATCGATTGATAATGTAGGTCCTGAAATGAACTTTATTTTGAATGACATCGAGTATAACTCCCAATAATATAGTGACGTCCTATTCACAAAAGCATTACATTTTGGTTGGCACGGAAATGACTAATCCGTAACCAATCACCGTGCCGCAGCAGATGATCAATGCAGACGTAACGTTCGATCATCATCGATGATCGCAAGGCTCCCTCAAAATAAATTATAAAACTTTCCACAAAGTTAGCATCGAGGACAGTGCACGCCCAGGCAGAACACCAGTATGAGAAGGATGGGGTGATTGTTCGTGCTTGCAAATGGTGTAGTTAGTGAGATTTTTAGACACGACAAACGCGGCAGTTGAGAGATTCGTAGTCTGCGCACGACTCTACTGCCGCCGTAGAATCTCTGATCATGGCCAAGGACTTTACCGCGGAGGGGTAATACACTCTTGGGGGGGGGGGGGGGGGTGTTTACTTGCACAAGCGCGGGGAACTAATTAACGTCTGGCACTAGCAACAACAGTGTGACAAGCATCTCATGCAATCTCCGCTTGGTGCTGCCTGTCGAGTTGCAGTGGCTGATGCGATGGGGGTATCGTTTCTGCAACACTCATGCGCTGCCAAAATCATTCAAAGAGAGTGTACAGCCTATACAGCCGCTAATGGTCTGCAGCAGACATCTTCGGCGCCATGACTCAGAGGTCTGCATTCAAAACTGCATGTACAAGCTCGTTGGTATAAGATACGAACTGATGTGTATGAGTTTGAGTTGCCCAAAAGATATATGTGTAGGTACAACGGAGATACCGTCGCCGAAGAGGGTGCCGGAGGACTCCATTCGCATCACTATTCGTTCTCTTATCCACAAGGATTGTAACCCATGTTGCTAGTTCTATTCATGGTCGACTGAGCTCACCACAGCTTGGAGAGACGGATCTGATTGCCTCAATCAGATTGGCGCAAATGGTAGTGAATAAGCTAGATCGCTGAATTATTAAACCTTGATAGACGGTGAGTTGTATCTGATTTCATAAAGCTGCGGTTCACAAAGTACACACAAAATTCCACTATTAATTGCTTTTGTATCAAAACTTTCATGTACCACTAGGGCGATTTGGTCCTTCACGATCTGATTGAAGCCGTAACTGAGCTTCATCACGGAGACTGGAAGTGACTCTCTCACCTAATCGCTGTGTGCAGGGTCCGAACCGACAGCAAATCCCGTTGCAACTCCACTATCTTCCGATTATCATTAACAGAGACATGGGAGCCATTCACTGACATCACAGCCCGATCACCCAATGATGTCATCATCCTACAATCCTTGTCCAATCCCCGAAATCCTGACAACGAGCTGCGGTCGACGCGATTGCCATCCTCACATGGAGCACACAAGAACGGAGCTCACAGTATTAAACCCACGACTCGGGCCAGTTGTGGTGCATTTTCCAGCTTCGTATCTCCAATTCCGAACAAACGAGTCTCAGTCGATGGATGGTGATTCAATCATCGAACATAAATAGCGTTCACGACTGCAGCCGCCCGAGTTCGTTCAGGCTCTTACCAGTAACTCCGGATGTCGTTGAAAGCGTGATTCCGTCTGACTTCAAAAAATGCGACGCCGGAGGCTCTCTCTCTCCCGGTCCGCCTCATCCTCCTATACCGCATCCTACGCATCGATGAGCTAGGCGTGGGGGATGATGATGGAATTTTAACAACAACAACAGCAGCAACAACGATGGGTGATCCAGGCGGCTGTTGAGGAGAACACACACTCCAAGTGGAATCACCGGGGGGGTGTGCGAGGTCTAGACCGTCCATGTGGCAAGCAAGAGAATCGGCAGGTTTGTCTCGACAAGCAGGATTCCGTTGTATCGATGAGCTGGGGTGGTCACTTTGAAGGAAGAGTCCGCGCGGCATTAAAGAGGGGAATGCGTGCAGAGGGCGCGACTGACGTCAGGTGCCCGATCCCGCAGCGCGGGGCATAAAATTGGGCCCTACCAGCAACAGCACTTGCAACAGCAGCAAGACGAAGAAGAAGATGATGCATGAAATCCATCGGGGAATGAATCAATCAATCAAACAATCCAGTGCGCCATCTCCTCCTCCTCATCTGCGACGACGATGATGGCGATGGATTCATTGCGTCGCACCGCGTTGGATTGTGTGCGACTCGCCGGCTGCATATGCACTCCATCGCTGCCTTCCTTCCATCGTCCTAGACTTCGGGTGCTGCTGGACGGAAGCTGACGAACGAACGCACGCACGAACCAACGAATTACTATCTAGGGGCTCTTTGAGGTTCCGTCGGGGGGATGAATGTGGAAGAGATTGGAGTTTTGGATGGGCGTCGATGAATGGTGTGGAACTCGATGGGGGGTGTATGTACATCCAGCTTCAAATAGTTTTGATAGTAATGAAAATAGTGAGTGAGAGAGTGAGAGGTGTGGTTTGAGGATGTTGTGTGTTTTGGGTTTGGAGGAAGTGGAGTTGGAGTATCTTGGCATAAAATAATTCTTATTGAAACATGAAATTGAATTGGGCATTGGGTGCCCAATGACAACAAACCTCTGTCATTAGACACCACAATTTTATGGCACTTCCATTCATCTATTCTCTTGTTCATACATGTTTGGCCAATAAGAAGGCTTCTTTATGTTTACACCTAAGTTTTTTTATGAAATACATGTGCAGGTGTGTATATTTACTTATATATATATTTAGAAGAATATGAAAAATATTTTGACGAAAAGGTTTGGTATTTTGTTGTTCTTTTAGAATTAATATGTTGTTTAGAAAGAGTTTGATTGTACAAAAAAAATATGAACAAATTGTCAAGTATCTAAGATTGGTTTGTTGAAATAGTTTTTAAAAAATGTATATAAATTGATATATACTTTTAGGAAAAATCATTACATCTTATTGAATCTACTAGCATTGGCTATTATAGCTTTAATTTTGGAAGTGAATCACTCAAAGGAGTTATCAACATATGTTGATATACAATACACTAATAAATCCCAAAGTAAGCAATGTAACTAAGAATTATACAATACTAATTATTCATGACAACTAAATTGTAAAAATAATAATAAAATTATATATATATATATATATATATATATATGTGTGTATGTGTGTGCTATTTTTTTGTGATCAATGACTTTTTTTTAAAAAAAATGTAGATGAGTTATTTATGAACTTGGATATTATTTTATAATAAAATAATAAGAATCCAACAGTCCAAGTAATATGATGTTACAATTGTTACAAATGCTTAAAAAAATTAATTGTCAGGATAATAAAATGATGTATTTACTTCAAATTTTGTTAATTGTATTGGTAATTTTTTATTGTTCTAGACTTCCGATCCAATTTTAAATTTGAAAATTTAAAAACTATAAGAAGAAATAGTCTCTATACATCTACAAAATTAGATTCTTAGTAGATGATTCATATAATGTAAGTGGTTACTAATATGAACTTCTAAACATGGGTTTGTGCTTCATATCACAAAATCAAGTTTTAATAAAATAACATTAAAATAGGAAATTTTTAAATTGACCCAAATATTTAGTAAATATTTGGGTCAATTTAAAAATTTCCTATAAATTTAAATGATGAGTGAACAAATTTGCATGTTAATGTTGCATAAGCTTGGGTAGTATAGTTATTATGTAAAGACTTCCTTCATTTGTCTCTACACTTGTTTTAAGAATGTGGCCATGCCATTTCATCATTCATCGACCAAATTCTTTGTATTTGAGTTCTTTTGAAAGTCATAATACTTTCCCATGAAAGTGAATTGTATCATCTCATTTCGCATATTATCTTGAGTGGTACAATTCACTTTCATGGGAAAGTATTATGGGATAATTGTACCTTATCCCCAAAATGGATGGATGCTCCAGTTAACGACCTCGACGCCACATCCAAACCACATCCATCCAAGCCAAGCTTCCCACGTCAGCCATCGGGTTCGCGAACCCGTAGCCCTAACCCTAATATTGATGACGTGGAGGCAGGCAAGGGGGCTTCAGCAAGAAAGTGTGCTGAGCTGTCGCGGGACGCTGTGATTGGCCGACGTGCTGAGGGTCTCTCTAACTCTCTCTCTAGGCTTTTTGAATTCTATCTCTCTTGGTCCGCCCGTCCGTGGTGATGGTGATGATGGCGGGAGAGCACGTCAGCAGGAGGGCAGTGGGAACCCCGCCCCAACCGAGACGTTCCCCTCCTTCCGTTCACTTCCCTCCCGCCCTGCCCCGCCTCTCATAAATGACTCTCACATGCAGACAAATCCAGGCATGGAGGGAGGGCTGGCTCTGTTTGAATAATATACACGGCGTTCCCCTCCCCCCGTTCCCCGATCCCGGAGACACACACCTCCAGTTCGAGGGTGCAGGCCAGAGCAGCGTGCTTGCCCACCACTGCCACTGCCATGGATGGATGAATCGATGAATATATGGATCATTGGATGAGTCATACTGGATGAATATTCTCCTCGGATGCTCCTGCTAGGTGGCTTGGCATCCCGCTTTCATCCCTCTATGACTGTTCCCTTTACCTCCCTCCTTTTTAGATTACTTTTTCTTTTTCGCTTCCGCCTTCGATTTCTCTTCTACTTGACTTCCCTTGTAATCTCCCCCTTTTAATTTCTGGTGGGAAGACACGTGGATATCAGTCAGTGGATGTTATAACTTCTATGGACATTCTTTTTCTTTTCCCAAAATATTTACTGACTGAGATCTCAGTAACAACTGAACTCATCCAAAACAAAAATTACACAAGGATTTGAGATTTGGTCACTATTCATGAAACTATTTCCACAAATGTCTTTTGACTTGGTGGTGTTGAAAATGTATCATTTAAAAGGTTTATTAACCTTTGAGGAAAACCACATTCTATCCAAACTTAGTTGTGATTGCCCATGCATGCCATTCTTTTGAAAGGACCCGCACTCCTAAACTCTGCCTTGAAAAAGCAGCTATTAACTCATGTTGAATGTTAAAGCACACACCTGGTCCTGTCACATTGCTTGAATTCTGGTTAACATGCAACTTTAATTTTATTATTATTATTAATACATTCTATGAGGCTTGAACTGATTCCTATGCCATCTGCACACAAACTGTGGTACAAGGTGGCCAATTTCAGAATTGGGCTTTCATGTGTTGTCCACCAACATCTCTCTCTCTCTATCTCTTTCTTTTTACAATGGGCATTTAATGATCCCGTATTTTGGAGAGTGACATGAAACCCCACATTCAATCCTTAGAGAGAAGAAAGAAAAGAGGAAGAAACTAGGATCTTTCTCACATGCTAATGATGTGAAATGAGCTTTTAGAAGAAGTGGAAAACCCCTAAGACAATACAAAACATGTTTTATAACCCCTGAGACAATACAAATTTTATAGTAATAACAAAAACATAATAGCAATAACAACTCATTTGTAATAACAAGTACCACATGATCCGTTTATTTTGTTTTGTTTTTGTTTAAGCAATGAGCATTTTTGATGATTCAATCATCATGAATTCATTCCTACAACTAGAAGTTAATCACCATATTTTAGGTAGATGTGTACATACCACAAATAGTACATTTCTGCAGGCAATATGCCAGTTTTGACAAGCCTCTTTTGAGAAAGTTAAATGTAACCTTATAATAATAATGGACTGTGGTTCACATATCCAACTTGTCTTTTCATGTATCCAAATATAAATCCTGCATCATGTTGTAGCAGGTGTAAATATCTTAAAGTGGTTATTCCATGTTCCACATTTTGCCCTGAAGACAACACTTATATGATTCCATAAAAATCTGCAGTAAAAAGTAGAAATCAATTTAAATACAATTCATTGGATTTAAGGAATAATCAGAATTCCCCTGCAAACACCATGTATATGCATGTGTGAATATGTGTTGATCAAAAGCTAATATTAATTCAAGTGCTTTATTGAAGATATTAATAGAGCAGTATCTACTCAATCAAAATAAATTAAAAATTAAAAACATCTAAATAATTGCATGCATGTGTCCGTATAATCCATGAATAACTTGCAAGCAATGCTGTATTTAACACTCACACGAATGTACAACATCTACAACAACATTCCATCAACAATCATGATTTGTGTAAATAAAATGAGTGTAATACAATTATTGAGCTGAAACTATACAATCCATAAAAAAATACAAAATAAACAGCACTTACTGTATATATATATATATATATATATATATATAAAACTGTTATGTTATAAGTTTCCATCCTTTAAAATACAAAATAACATACATGTTCATATCAATAACACTTGTCTATGTGATAAAACAGAGAGTTATATGTAATTTAGGTCACTTCAACAAAATAGATGTTAAAATGATTTGTTGCTCACATACTTTTCATGCTTTTTTTCTATCTAACTCCAGAACTCAACCATGCCATAAACTGAGAATATTTTCTGTTAATGTTGCTGGGTACAACTCACAAAAATATATGTATTAACATAAGTATTGCACAATTGTGTTCTTGAATATGCTCAATATATATATATATATATATATATATACATATACATACATCAAATAATATCTAAAGAGTAACAAAAATATTGAAACACTCCAAAAAAGGTAAAATTAAGGACAACAATGTTCTGAAATATAAACTAATACCATAAGATTCATATACTTATACTTTCCAGTACATGAAGCCCCATTCAATTCATCCACATAATTTTCAACTTAATCAAAGTGTGTGAGTCTGAACAAGTGTTTGTATACATATTGGGATCATCTTTAGTATTTGTAGAAATCAGAGAAACTTAAAGCATTTGTGTTAAATAATTGGCTGATTTAGTTGCAGTTTTAAAATACGATTATCTGTAATGAAATGACAAGGTACTACTATCAATAAAAACGATTTTGATTCTTGTCCTTTAAAATTGTGAAGAATAAAACCATATGTTGAATCAATCTTCTAATTTTGACAATTTCAAGGAAAATTAGGATTGTTCTATCCTGGGTAAGCTATTGATAGCAGTGTATCATTTTAAAAGAATTATTTCTACATTTACAATTGCATTACAATTACTTTTAGAAGACATTTCTTGTGTCACAATGTATCCATTGTTCAAAATACCTTGTGGTATCTCTTATATAGAAAAACTTAGAGGAGACAAAAACCATCTCAGATTGGATGCATATTTCATTGTTTTCATCAAAAGTTAATCAATAATTCAACTTTTGCTTAATCAAAGATCAAAATCTGCATGTTGTTGTTGCAAATTGCTGAGAGTAACTTTGCAAGATCACTAGACATTGAACTCAAAAGCTCCCAATTGTAATTTTTAATGCACATATACACATATATATATATATGCAATTACACATTTATAATCAATGCAAAAAACTAATTTTTTTATTGAGTAACTTAAATTGAGTATGATTAAGTTGATGATAGTGTTAACAACTTTTACAGAAAT